CGAGCCTGAAATTAATTCCCTAAATGTTAATTGGCGCTATTTAAAATTGCTGAGGGCACATTGGAGGCATTTCAAGTGATCAACACGAGATTTGAGAGCAAAGAAGCCATTCCAGGAACGGGCAGAGCCACGGCCAAACCTCCTGTCCCACCTGCAGCAAGAAATGTTGACTGAAAACCAAGTGAAAGTTCTGTGGACCAGCTTGGAATAACTTATCAGTCATTTTTCATGACTGAGAGCATGTTTGGGACATGAGGGTCACCCTCTGAGGATTAATTTCTGAGATAAACAGCTAATGGCTGTTGGATGATTATGGTCAGGAGCAATTATTATGCCATTTTTCAACTGTTCATTCCTACAATAAAAAGTCACCAGGCTAAATTAAGCTGCAGTTTAATCTGACTAAAATTCAACCTGGTTTTGTCTCCTTCACTCGAGAGCAGAGTTCCTTTGCTGGGGGTTTCAGGCCTTTTCTCATTTATACCCTGGACATCACTGGTGACACGAGTGGAGGCTGTTGAAGCTCCCTCACCACTCAGCCCCTCATGGACACATCTTTAAATAATTAAGAAAAAACCATAATCATAAAAGCCCAAATGATTTGCAGCCCCCAACCCCTGCAGCTCCACAGCCCAAGCAGCATTCCCACAGGGTTTCCCCTCTTCCAGTTTGCAGGAGAAACTACAACTTTTTATTCAGATAATCGACCAAAAAAGCGTCACGTGCCTGAAGACCGAGCAGCAGTTCAAACTCAATAGGTGTGTTGGGGAAAACACATCTGTCTGGGAGGAAAAGGAGACTCACATCACTGCAGAACTGTCACTCCAGCATTTTTCAGGAGCTCTCCACTCACTTAAGCAGCCCTTGAGGCACCAGCCAGTGCGAGATACGGGATGACGGATGTTCCATCTCCACCAGCAAATCCTACTGTGATTTTAATTGAATTACAGCAGCCATTTTATTTTTTTTTTTTTTTTTTACAGAGCCTCTCCACTCAATGTTGCTTCCTTGCTCCCAGTGATTCAGCAGTTTATTTCTCAGTGCACTAATCCCTCCCTCAGACACTTTCTCGCTCCTTTCAAGCAGTGCTTCTGACAGCAGCTCCCCATATCTCTGTTGTTTAGGGCTCTCTCTTTTTTATTAAATAGAATTAAACAGACACATTTCTTTGGCTTTCAGGCTCTACCACTTTTACCTCCACCTTCCAGCAGCTCATGAGTTGTCCTCACAATGTCCTGTTCCATTAGATCTTTCAGCTCAGCTGATGACAGAAATTTTAAAAGGACACAGAAGAAAGGGAACCTGAAGCCCAGGGGAAAAGAAAGAGACAGTGACACCTGTCTGAAAACTTAAGCCAAGTGTGAAATGTTCTTTATTATATCTGCAAAATACATGTTTACTTTGATATTTACAGGGGACTCCATAAAGCTGCCAACTGGTTATTTGAGCTGATGACTTAGAGGGTGTAGAAAGGTCAGGTAATACAGAAAAAATAAGGTAAAATAGGCAAAAGCAACTGTCAGGACCCACCTCTGCCAGAGCAGATGGTGAAGAAGTGTCAGCAACTCCTATCATTCAATAACACCTTGGAATCCAGGCTGACATATCTTGACCCAGCTATTTAAACAGCAGATTAAAACTTAGCCTGGTGACTTTTTATTGTAGGAATGAATAGTTGAAAAATGGCATAATAATTGCTTCTAACCATAATCATCCAACAGCCATTAGCTGTTTATCTCAGAAATTAATCCTCAAAGGGTGACCCTCATGTCCCAAACATGCTCTCAGTCATGAAAAATGACTGATAAGTTATTCCAAGTTGGTCCACAGAACCACTGTTAGGGGCATTTTATCATCAAAGTTCCTTTCCCCTTAATCAAAGGCTAATGCAACATGAAATCCTTAAATATGGGCTGCACCACGAGATAAACTCAGCAACCTTGAAAAGGCTGGGAAATGGCAATTTGCACACACAAACACAAGATTTAGAGCTCCCATCATAACCTGCCTCATCAATCACAAGCAACAGTGGCTTTAACAGAACGATTTTCAGAGTGTATTAAACTTCACGACATCTTAACCTTCTTGTAAGGCCACAGTCATCTCTTTTTACAATATCAAACGAGTGCAGAAGGGCAGATTTGCTTCATGCCAAAATATTCCTTGTGGTACATTTGAGAAATAACGGCCCTGCTGCCTCCCCAGACATCCCTTGGTGTTATTCCAGCCCCAGGTACCCACTCAGGGAACACAGACAACACATCCTCACACATATTCCGAAAGAAAACACCCTCAAAGTTTTGCAAAGCTGCTGGAATGAGGCACTCATGAGTTAACATCACTTTATCCTAAGTTTTGTCCAAGTATCTGGTTGGTGCCTTTTGTACTTATCACGTTCTTAGGATGAAAAGTCAAGCCATGAGGACTCCATCCTAAATATGACTCAAAATATTATCCCCAAAATCAAGCAAAATGTGAACTCTGCAGTGATTAATTAAAATCCAGCTTATATGTATCAAAAAGTTGTCATTTCACTCTCCTGTAAAATCATCAAACTACCTCTGAGATGCAATTTCCAAGAGGGCAGAGCCTGCTGAACTTTTAAAAGACAACTAAATCCAGCACAAAATGGCAGTTTTACTAATTCAGAGAAGAGAAAGCTGCCACTCAACTCTGGATGCCCTCGGAGACAGTCCCAATCCCTTCAAACCCTGCCTTAAACAACTGCTTTTCCAGACTGTATTCACTGTAATTTCCTTTCCTCCAGCTATTACCCGGCACATTCAGCATCAGGACATTTCTCCAGCACAGCTGTACAGTGTCTATTGGTAATATTTCTAATTAAAATGACACTCTAAGCCTGTTTTTGAATAGAATGCACAGATGCCACCAGCTTTAAGAGGACTGTTAACCTGTTGCTGGTTTAATTAGCTTGACAGGTAATAAAGTAGAATTTTATAATTATACCATTACAGTGCACAAATGTTTCCTATCAAATCTACTTAATTGAGTCACTTTGGCCAACAACAGCCAGTTTTGATTCGCCAGAGCAGAAGCAAAACCCCAAACTTGGCATCCTCAGGGCCTTGATTAGGGCTTAGCAAGGACCACGTGCTGCTGAGGAGTGTGGGTTAGCAAGTCCTGCCCTCTCCAAGAGATGAAATGGGTATAAAAGCTGAATTTGCAGTCCCCATAAGTGGAATTTTGTCAAGCACAGCAATGTGTGTGACCGCTCTCTCCTAAAAAACACTCTGTGCTTCGTTCTTTGAAAGCACAGTGCTGACGTCCAGGTTGCTGCTGGTCAAAGAGCAGAATTGAGATACACAAAGTTCACGGGAGTTCCCAGCTCAGGACACCTCAGCAGCTCGGGTGACACTCCTGTTCCTCTCCCCACACACCACAAGAACCCAGTTCTGCCTCCCGGTCCCAGCCCTGAACATTCCACAGCTCATCACTGAACTTTTCATGGTTCTCATTCCCCCAGCACTTCCCCACGCTTGGCTTTTGTTAAACACCACTTCACTCCCAGTTCCAGCACAGAATCCAGGCATTCCACCCAAATTCCAGTCACATCCTCACTAATGAGAAACGTTTACCAAATAGTTGTGTTGCTCTGCAAACAAAAAGCAAATTTCCCCCCTCCTGTCTGCAGCAGTGCCAGCATTTGCAAGCCATTATTCCAGCAGGAATAGGAGTGTCTGCTCCAGCCCTTCCCACCTCCCATCACACCAGCATGGAAGGATTTGGAATGCAGAACACAAGGCTGCAGCCTAAAAATAATATCCTGAGATTTGATCCCGCACTTCTTATTCAGGCTCAATTAATCAAGGTTGCCTAACTCTTCACAAGTACTTTTCATCAGCAGATTGAAACCACTTTCCAAATGAAATGGGGATCAGCATCTCCTTTTTACCGTGGGGAACCTGAAAATGAGATTGCACCTGAGAAAGGGCTCTCAGGCTAATTTAGGAGTACTGTCCAAAGGGATGAGGAGTCCATTATTCAAAGTTATCTTTTATATTAAGAAATAAGCTTTTCCTTTCAGACCACTAGCAAGTGATATATCACAAAATTTATCATGCTGTCTTGGAGAACCTCACACTAAGAGAGCATTGTACATTCCAAAAGAATATTTACATCATCTCCATAGCTTCAGTTTTCGTTGTGAACACCATCCAGGACTAAGCAGAAATTTCTGAATTAAGAAATTAAGTATTTTGATCAGAAGCTACCTGTAACCTTCTCTGAACAGATAGAAAAATAACACCTAAAGCTAAGAAGGAAGACGACATTTATATTTCAAATACTTAATTGTAAGATCTGAAAACATTTTGTTCTCCTTGGAAAATAACATCGTATAATTCATACTTAAAAGCGTGCTGAAAAAAAAACCCTTCAAGATAATTTCAGGTTCTATTGTACAAAACCCACCTCTCCACTAACAATACTTGTTCCCTTTGACATTCCAACTGAGATGCCATTAAGAAAATCTGAGTTTCAGAAACACCACAGGTTGGTCTGGCTAATTCAACTAGAGGGTCAGTCATTCAATGACTAATTAAACACCAGTTTTGAAAATCTCCTCACGAGACAAATAAGAGCCTAATCAGAAAAAAAAACAACACCAAAACACTATTGATAACAAGATATCAATATCCTTTTGTAAAAAATCCATTCTTTAACTTATGTGCATTCTTTTAAACAGTGGTTCAGTTATAAAAATAGTCAAGCTGAAGACAAGTTGTTCTGTGTTATCCATAAACCTTTCCATGTAAAATTGCATCAAAGCAACATATACACCCCAAGAACTTAGACAGACACATATTCTTTTAAAAAGGGTGATTAAAATCCACTGTCAGGGCACTGAGAAACTCTGGGGCAGTTCTTCAGTCTAAGGCACAAACAATGCAAAAAAGATTGATATTTCAATTCAATGATGGCAAGAATAAAGAGAAATTAGCATCACCAACACATCAAAATTAGTATTAAAGAATCATTACCTTCTCCAGTGCATGATAGGTAGACTTCAGTCAAATTTCCAATACCTGAAAGTACAAATTCAGATGGAAAAAGTCAGTTATACTGATATTTTAATACATTAAACTCATTCTTGTTAAAGTTGATTTATTTTACAGAGAAAGGCTGTCTTGGATTGCTTTTAGTTGGGTGTTCTCAAAGTGCCACAAGACAAAAGCAGCAACGTGGTCAGGTCTTCTACAGAATTTCTCCACTGCCTTTTCAGTTCCCTCCACTCCATGAGTCCATTCACCAGCTCACTGCTCAGCTGCAAACTCTCCACTGGAACTATTTAAACCTTGTTTTACCAACTTTGACTTCAATAAAAGCTGAAACTCTTTCCCTGATAACTCAGGGCAGCTCTCAACTGACAACCAACCTAAATCCCAAAGGAAGGGCTGAAGCACAGCCTTTTCCCAAGGAGTTCCAGTACAAGCATTGGATCATCCAAACCTCACACTAACTGAGGTCTGAAAAGTAGGGGGAAAAAATAGGAAATTTCTTCAATACATGCTTTAATCATAGAAATACACATTATGGGTCACACAAAGAACATGATGGATGGAGAAGATATGTTTATGAAATCAGAATTCAGTGAGGAGACCAAAATGTAGCAAACATTCTACAGTGTAAGGAAATACAGGTTTTATACAGGCATTGATTTTTGCACTATCAAACTTATCCCAGATAGGAGAAGAAGAGGGAAAAAATCTGACCCTTTGGTTAAAGATAAGCATCCATTTCCTCCCTGAAGGGCTGTAGGTTGGATTCGAACTCAGTCTGAACAAGTCACAACCAGAGGATCCCTCTGCTTCAGTTCAAGTCTGTAGTACAGTTGCTACTAAAATCCCTGAGAAACCCTTAAAATTTGATATTAGAAAGGAATTCTTGGCTCTGAGGGTGCTGAGGCCCTGGCACAGGTTGCCCAGAGAAGCTGTGGCTGCCCCTGGATCCCTGGAAGTGTCCAAGGCCAGGTTGGATGGGGCTTGGAGCAACCTGGGCTGGTGGAAGGTGTCCCTGCCCATGGCAGGAGTGTTGAAATTAGGTGATCTTTAAGGTTCCTTCCAACCCAAACCATTCTGGGATTCTGTGGATACACAAGGCTTCTACACCACATTCTGTACTAAGAAATTACATCACTGGTAGTTTAAATGCATAATTATGTCTTCATTTAACATATTTGCCCCACTCACACCCATCAGCAGCTTTCAGTCAGGACGTGGGGTGACATTTCCTGCTCTGCACAGTCACACTCATGGACGAGCCTGTCTCTGGTTTTCCTGGCACTATCTTCCACCTGGATTTGCTGGAGGGAAGAGCTCCCTTCCAGACCAAGAGGCCTGGAGGGGAACAGGTGGGATCCATCACCAGATCCGAGTCTGGGAAAGCTCTTCCATGGAGGAACAGGCTTCCAGGCAGGCAGAGCCAGATGGAGCCCCACCGAAGTGAGCACCGCGCCGGGTAGAGTGGATAAATATTTGACATTCAGAGCTACACTAATTAGACATCAAGAAGAAATGAAAGGTTTTGTACCAATCAAAATATTACTCTATTTACTGTAACTGTTCAACTTATCACTTCAGTCAGAGAAAGTTTTGGAGAACAACTTGCACAAGTTAAGAAATGCTCCAACACCAACATCGCTACGTATTTTTAGACACCTACAAATCCATCCCTTGGTGCTGAAAACAAAGAAAAAAAAACAACCTGCAGTTTTTTTTCTCTGAAAATTCTGTTCTTCTCAGCACTTGCCATCTCTGAAGTATCCCTGAACTTATGTGGGCACATGGGGCCAAGAGCCAAAGCAGAAGAGGTTTCTTACAGAACACCTGCCACCCAACCTTCAGAGCTGCATTTGCTTTGGGTTGTTGTTTTTGAAATCCCTGTCAGGCTTGTGTGCATAACTGAGCTAGAACGGCTTTTTTTGGCACTTATGTGGGAGACTCTGGATCAAATCTTCATTTTTCTCTTCCCCCACAGCCCCAGCAAATGCAATTACTACCAAGCTCATTATTGCTTTGTTCTGCTAGAGCTGCTCCTGTTGGGTGGATACTCACCCAAGCAAAAATCTCATCTCCCATATGCCCATCGAGGACTTAATTTTTAGGTAACAAAATTTTGGGGTAACTGGTTAAAAGAAATCCTCTACCTAAGGACTTCTGTCTACTTAAGAGATCAAGCCAGCAGCACAGACCTACTCAAATCCTTCAGAAATTTCAGATTCCAACCACAGAAACACTTTTATGGACAATTTCTTAGAACACTCTGCCTTGGCAGAGAGATACTGGCTTAGACCAGGGAACAGGCAAATTCAGAATGTAGTGAATTTGGAAGGACAGTATTTCATCCCATAGGAATTGCAAGAGGCTGAACACTGCTCCTCATAAAACCTGGAAATGTGGTGCTCAGGGACATGGTTTGGGGTGGACCTGGCAGTGCTGGGTTAATGGTTGGACTCAGTTTTAGAGGCTTTTCCAAACTTAATGATTCTGTGTTTGAGACAGTGATTAAAATAATTGTGCATTATCCTCACAAGCAGCATTGAGCCTGGACTTCCAGGCTGGAAAACCTCCAGCATTTAAATTACACCACCCCCAAACATCAGCAGTGCCCAAGGAATTTCACTAAATAATAAAAAAACCCTCCTATACTGGAGGGTTTGGTCACAACTTCCACTGAATTCTGACACACACCTTCATCCCAAGGGAAAACCAACATGGAGCAGGCATTGAGGGACACACACTGTGCTCTGTCCTTTAGGTGACACCACACAAGACACAACACTAAAAACTTGAGTTTAGCAGGTTCAGTATTTTCTGCATCCCTTGTCAACAGAAGGCTTTGGAAAAAAAAACTTCAGAACACAGGCAGGAAGTTGTCTCCAAAGGAAAAGGCAACAACACTCCTTTAATGCAGCTCCCCAGTCACCACTGCAGTTGTTCTTGAAGCTGTAACTTCCAAAAACCCCGAAAAGAAACTCAGTTTTGTGCAATCCTCATTTCATGTAAAGGAGCAGCACATTCTTCAAGGAAAAAAATATCACTTAAGGATAGAAAACAAAAATAGAGAGGCAGCACTTCATTTCACAGAAATACTGTGTATTTGCACAAAAAAATTCCACTTTTTGTTTTGTGTGGAGGCAGTTCCTTGGGAGCTGGCACCAGGGAGTACTGAGGAGAGCCTGGAGAAGTGCTGATCTCTCATCTGTTGCCAGCAGAAATCCATAAATCACTCTCCAAGTTCATATTGACACAAACTAATGCAGACTGAGCTGAAAGAAGTTATCCCACTGAAACCCGAGGTGCATTTCCCACCTGGAAGTTCATTAGCATAATATGCAAATCCTGACATTCCTAATGCATCTTTCCTCAGAGCACTTGGAGGGAAGGCAGCAGAGGAAGGTGATGGTATCTCTCTGTGGGAGGAAATCAAGCCTGGTGCACAAAAGGGACATTAGTGATGCATCAGGCTCTGAATACCCCACCAAAATCCTCCCTTGGTCACTTCAAACAGGAAAATAATCAGCAAATGAGTTGTTGTATCTTTTTAGAGTCCCTGGCTCTATTCTGGGTTTAGGTTTATGGAACCAGCCTGCTCTGGCACTGGTTTTTATTGCCTGTCAAACCACGGACTTGTCCTGTCTTCCAAATTCACTGTTTTTTAAAAAGATTAAATAAGAAACAACGAGAGTTTGCACCTCTGTGCTTCATTCCAGTCTCAAAAGCACTCAGACTATAGGTTTGTTTTTATCTCAAACCCCACACATGCTGTTTAGGAGCTTTTTCTGATTCTGTTTTCTAATATAACCTTGATATCCCTCAAAGCTTCCACTTTTTATAAAGATGATATTCTTCACTTAACGAGCTAAAGCAACAAGAGAACCACGCTCCTGTAGACTATTAATAAGTCCATAACAAGTGTGTCTGAACCTGCTCTTGCTTATTTCCATTCCCAGCAGTCCTACCAGCCTTCAGGAGTAAAGATGTTCCCTGCAGCTGCTCTGCTGCCATCCCTGTTCCTGCTCCTGGAGGACATTCCACACCCACCCACCTCTGCTGCCTCCTCAAAACCAAAGCCAGAGGATGTTGGCTCTGAGGTACCACCCACTTCTACCCCCTGGATCAGCATCATCTCCCAGCTGCAGCCCAGACTCAGACTTGCATCCCTGGGTTTGCCTCCTGCTCAGGAATTCCAACACTGTTAACTAAACAATGGATTGATTATGGGAGCTCAGAGGAAGAGACACAGTTTTCTGAAGCAGAAGAGATAACTCCCAGACTCAGAAGCATTTCCTGAGCGTTTAAACACTGCCTAGTGAGTCAGCCAAAAGCATTTTGTGAGTGTCATCCATCTCATGGAAGCAAAACTCAGCCTAATCCCCAGCACCCCTCTCCCAGGGACTGATGGGTTTAACTTGGAAGCAAAATGCTGTCAAAATACAGATCTCATGTGATTTATTCCAACAAAAAAAGTGAAAAATGAATATTTCAAACTGGTATTTGGTCTCATCAAGTGGGGATGAGCATTCCACATTTTTACTGGATTTTTAGGCTTTACAGTGCCACTTGTTGGATGCCATTTGCTTCCTTCACAAATGAAAAGAACACTGACCTGCATGGCTGCATATTGATAATAAATCTACAGACATCAGAATTCTTTGGAGACAGTGTCAAAGAAATCTCAGAGGGATTCACCAGCTGGCTCATAAACTGAACTTGTAAACTACATAACCCTTAAAATTGTCTTTGTTACTTAAAATGAGCTTCCCTGCCCCATCAGAATAGGCTCAGGAAAACTTACTGACTGTGCACAAAGGCTGTTGGATGTTCTTCCAAACCTGTTTTCCTATGGAATTCTGGGGAAAAGTCCATATATCAGGAAAAGCCAAAGAGGCTGTACTGGCAGAAGATGATGTGTTCATCACCTTTCTACTGTAAATGCAAAGTAATGAAACCCATTAAATTGGTTCTCATTGTCTGTGAGCGATGCCTCTGTCTCTCCAAAATGCTGCTTAAGAGATCCTGTCCTC